GGAATGTGGGAGTGGGATGGCTGGTTTACTAGCTACGTAGTAGCTACTAGCTTGGGAGGTAGTGGTCTTTCCTAGGGGGAGGGGGTGAGGGTAGGTACTTTCATTATGCTACTGTGAGTCTCCTGATGTCTATCAGAGGATAGTGCTATAGCAGCTTCAGCTTCAGCTTCATATTCAAGGTATATCAGTGTATCAATTGCAGTTACATATCATCGAATGCATATCGCTCAAATGGCCAAAACATCAATAGTATATCATATCATATCACAATCACAACTCGAACATATCTCAGGATATAACCAAAAAGATTAATCGTGCCATATGCAGTCAAACCAATGTCTAGCAACTCACTGCATAAACAGACATACAAGCAGCAACAACCAGATCCAACATCTTGATCCCCTCATCTTCAATAATCAGCTTACCCAGTTTCGCAGACTTCCCCCGTAACCCTCCGCCTGCGCGCTCCCGTGCCAGAGAAAGATCCAGACGATCCTCACTCGGTGGCCGGCGCAAAAGCCCTGATTTCTCGCGCTCTTCGAGATCTCCGGCCCCGCTGCTCGTGCTGCTATTCGAGGGGTTCCGTGTGTGGTGGCTGGGGCCGATGTTATCGCCGATGGAGGTGATACTGGCCCCGGAGCGAGCGCGAGGTCGCGTATACTTGTTCGGGTTGAGGAGGCGGGCGAGAGAGTCACGTTTCGAGGAAGGGTTTGCGGGGGTAGGAGTTTGCGGAGAGGAGAGGTAGGAGTCCGTTGGGGGCGAAGTAGGATGATAGGGTGCGTACGTGGGAGTGGGCTGGTGGAGGTGGCCGGTTCGAAAGGGCGTGTTGAAGCGGATCTCGGCGACAGTGATGGCAGGGGGTTCAGGCGTGGAGGTCGGGTGGTGATGGTGGCTGCTGGCGTTGGGGAGGCCAGGGGTGGGTATCATGTGTTTGCATTTAAGGCTACGGCCGTTGACGCTCGTTGTAAACGTGCAGATGCCATTCCAAGGTGAATTGAAGGTGTAATAACCGCTCTTCAGCTTGGAGTGAGGAGGGGCATGCGGTTTCGTGGGACTGCCACTGGCAGTGCTGTCCAGGGACGGACGACCCGGGAGGTCCAAAGAGCCTCGCGGCTCCTCTTGGAAGTATGGTCTTGAGACGCAGAGCTTGCGGTGGAATCGTCGGGGCTGAGATGGCGCATTGGTAACCGAATTAGGAGGTGGAAGATCGGCCAAATCAGCCAACGGGTGTTTGGACGACGAGAATGAAATGGACTGGCCGCCTGGGAGGTTTATCCCCAGACTCGCAAGAGAGAGCGGTTCGTTCTGCGCCGTGAAGCGGTTGTACCCCGGGGTGAGGATATCGATGTCGATAGGCCCACCATCCATCCGAGGCGTTGACATGGTCGCAACATTCCACTGACTGCCATGCGTAGGATCGCGACGAATCAAGGTGATATGGAATCCCGGACGATCAGCCACCACTCTGTCATGCGGCCTCTGGCGAGGGGACTGGCCCGGACTTCTCGCGGGACTCCTCGCTGGGCTTCTAGACGGCGACCCCAGAAACGAGTGTGACGGACTTCCATGAGCAGAATGCGGTCTAACGGGAGGTCGTCTTGAGTCCAGACTCGCCCGCCCACCAGACATGGCATCATATTTCTCCTTCCACGTTTCCTGGCCCTTTGCCAGGTACCCCGACAGCGCAGTGCTCCACCGATTGGCCCTCTTCGCCGGTAGCGGGTCTAGAGGCGGTCCCAACACCGGCTCTTCTCTCGGAACAGCGGGCAGTGGCCGCGCAGGACGCGCAGCCATGGGATCGTCAAGCGGCGCGGACTCGAGGACGGGCTCGCGATTGACCGGCGCGAAAGGCGGGGTGACAGGGTTGTAATCGTTCGCATAAGCAGGGGCCTGGAAACTCGGACGGGGAGGCAGGGCCGGGCGCTGCAGATCTGGATTCAACGGCGATGGCGCTCCCTGCGACTGCCAGGAAGTCGGGCGAGGGCGCGCAGGAGGAGGAGGAGGAGCGGTCGCATCGACCTTGGGTGCGCCCCCGCTAGGAACAGGCTTGCGCCGGACATTATTCAATCGCGCAAACTCGCGCGAAGGCAGAGGAGCCTCCACCTCGTCTCCAAGGGCTTCTTTCCGCAATCTAGCCTCCTCTTCGCGTTCCTGCTCGTATTCCTGCAGCAGGACGTCATCCTCGGGCGTGGCGACGTGCAAATAATATAGGGAGGAATTGATGGCTTCGGCCGAGACGCTGGACTTGGTAGCAGGTTTCAGGGGGGTGAGGAAGACATCTGAAGACGGAAGAATACGCAGGGTCAGTTGATCTATCATATGCATGTTTGGTGCCACCGCTTCTGCGGGGCATTCCTGAGCGATCGGAATGGCAGGTAAGCGACATACCTCGACTGCCTGGGACCCGCACAATATACAGCACTAACGGATCCAGCTTTTTCTGCGTAGGATTGCGCGGATAGGCAGGGGGATTGGAAGCAATTGCGGTGATGGAGGACAGCGAGCGAGCCTCGACGGGGGCTTTGGGGAGACTCGGCGGCGAGGCGGCCATCGGGGCGGAATCCCCATCCCCCGCGGCGTCAACCTTGGTCATGGAAAGAGAGGCGGGGGAGATGTCACGGAGAGGTGAATTTGACTGGATATAAAATAAGCATGAGGAGAAGAAGAGCGAGAGGTAACCACTTGTGATAATAGAAAGGGGAAAAACAATAAAGGAAGGGGGAAGAAGGAGAGCGGAAGACAAGAAGATCAACGCGGAGAAACCGGAGAGACCGCCAAGACGATCAGCATCGGGCAGCAAGCTCAAGCAGAACAATAGTCTGAGAGTACTTATTGAGAAACAGGCACACCGGGGCGACGGGGAACATCCCCAGTCGCAGGGCGGACGATCTTCAGCGGCAATGCTTCCATTCAAGGGTCCCGAAAATAAGGCTGCCTGCTGAAGGCAAATCGGAACGAGGCAACTCCCAATTGGCCCAAATGTCTCACTGTCTACTACTAGAACAGTCGTACAGAACGACAAGGAGTGAAAGAGATTAAAGTCGAACGGTTTCCACTTGGATTCACTTGCCAAAGGTATCTCACAAACAAGATAACAAGGTATTCTAGACTACAGGCCCGGTAACTCGTGCAATAGCTGGAACCGACCATGATGTGTAAATGGTAGGAGAAAAAGAGAAAAGAAAGGAAATAACGAAAAGATGAACCCGGTCAACGATAGGCTACCAATGCTCTGCAGGCTCCCATCCATCCTACAACTGGATCGTAGGGCCGATTATAAGAATAACGAAACCGTGCAAAGGAAGGAAAATGAACTCCGAATGCTCCCAAGTGAACTGTACCCAGACCAGACCAATATTCCCATATTCCCTAGACAACCGTCTCCGATCGCTCGCCCTCTGCAATGACAGGAACGCTAAGCCCACGCTCAGGACTCTGTAACACCAGCTGCTCGTGACGGCGTGCCCGCAGAAAATCGCTGATAGCTCGAATCAGAATGAACCACCCGACAATCATCAAGACGTATGAAATCCATTCGCTCGTGGTGATAGAGGACACAGCACCGCCTCCGCCATCACCACCCGCACCACCATCGACATTATTCGGATCGAAGTTATGACTGTTCGGGTCCGGGGGTGTCACGTAATCGGCGCCTCCTTCATCCGATCCTTTCGACTCACTGCCACCCTTCATGTAGAAACCATACTGCACCAGCGTGAGGCCGAGACCAGCCCGGCTGCCGTTCTTGGCTGCGTGCGTTGTGTGAAGCAGGTAGGTCAAGAGGAACCCAACCAACTGGAACGACATAGAGATCATGGCATTCCAAACAAACGAGAAAATCGATCCAACTGGCAGTCCATCCACAAACACTTCGTCCGAAGAGATACCTGGTGCGAGGATTGTCGTCTCCCAATACGGCGGTGTAGCATCTGCGGCGGCCTCCTCGTAGGACTATATAAAAGCACATCATCAGCAACCATCATCCCATCGCAAATCCCACAAGGAGTCAACCTACCGGAGGCAAATCCTCATTCTTTTCCCCGCGCTCCGGCTTAGCCGCCAGATTAGCAAAGACACCATCGTTCGACGAACTGATCACCCGACTCGCTCCCGAACTGGGGGTACTGAAAGACGGTAGAATCGTTTGCCGTCGAGGAAGGCTTCCACCGATGCGCGAATCGCCAGACTGTTGCTCTGAACCGCTTGAAGAAGAAGATGCAGCCGCAGCAGCGCTGCTGGTGTCCGCCACCGGGCGGGAATCTGGCTGAGCCCGCATTAAGCGCTGACGATCGTCGGGCTCTTCATCGGACTCGGAATCGCTGCCATCACCGAACGCATCTGCCAGGGTTTGGTCTGCATGGTCTCTGTGGGGATCGTCGTGGAGGAGGCGTCTCGATGATGGGGAGGAGGAACGAGAGTGGAATGAGGGAGGCGGGGAGGAAGGTGTCGGTCGGAGAGGGATAGAGTGTGACTGGGGGGTATCATCATCGTCTTCATCACGGGCGTTGACCTATATAGAGACCCATGTATCAGTACTTTGTTTTTCTGACATCCAAATGCCGAACCCGACGGCTTCTATCAAGAACGTGGGTGCCTCATACCCGTTGATAACGCTGCGAGCTCATGACGAGCTGAGCGAGCGGGAAACCGGGAAAGAGCGGAGTAAAGGACGGTGGGGAAGAAACAAAAGAAATCAACGGCGTCGGAAGTAGGTATTAGAAGAGGGACAATAGAAGGAGGCGCAAAGAACGTGGATGGGACTTTGAGGGGGGAGATTCATAAGAGATGGGAAGGAGACGATCAGCTGGAGATGACGAGAGGAGAGAGAGAGAAGTCCAGGTCAGGCAATAAGGCAGCAAGCAGCAGCATCAATCAGCATGCGGTGGCTGAGCCGGATTGCCGCGCCCGAGACCATGACCGTTACCGCCGTGCCGCCTCAGGCAGTTCCGCTGTTTTTCGAGCATCTACAGACATCTAGATAGATCTCGAACAGTATCTCTCCAGCGCTTCTCTCATTCACAATACCCTCGCCCCTATCACTCACACTACAATCACCCAATCCTCCAAAACACAGATATCCCACCATGGCATCCAACACAGTACGTCTACCCTCACCACCCCAACTTAAACCCTTCTCAATCCCACCTCTTTGGCGTCCCAGCTAACTAATTACCAACCACAGCAACGAATCACCACCCTCCTCAAACACTGGCCAACCGACAAAGTGCGCCCATCCTCCGTGTCCGTCCAGAACTACCTCCAAGCCTGCCTCCAACCCTCATCCACCGAACCCACCTCTCAGAAACAGCCTCAACAAGAAGGCCAATTACAAAAAGTCAACATCGACGAGAAATCCCTCAACGCTCTTTCCTCACTCCTCGAAGACCGGTACGCGAGACGCTATCCCCTGTCGCCGAGATTGCGCAGACCGGCGAGTAACCCGGATCATTACGATAATGTGATTCGGGAGTTCGATGAGGCGCCGGACCGGGACTGGATGGGAAGGTTGAAGAAGAGATTGGGTGGATTGTTGAGGTTGAGGTAGTTTGTTTGCCTTTGGGGTTTAGAGGGCTATTGGGGGAGATGAGGGGAGTGATGGTGGTGGCCACCTTTCTAATGGTGTTGTGTTGTATTAGTACTATGGGATGGCATGGGTGAAGAAGGGATATTAAAAAATGGCTCTGGTTCTAGTTCGGGTTCTGTACTTTACGACCTTGTATATATAGTGTAATATCTGGCTGAAAAATTTGGTATCTGTTCAATGGCATTATTTTTGGATACAGTGTGGTATATATAGGGTGTGTTCGGGGATTCAGGTCAGTTGTCAATTGACAACGCCGAGTTATACAGATTTGCAGCGAGGATCATGTCAATCTGATCTACAGCATCGGCTTGACATTATCAGCCACCTTGAATGGTGCCTCCGTCTTGCTCCGCACCTCATCCACGGTGACTCCATCGGCCAGCTCAACCAGCGTCAATCCATCTGTAAAGTCGACGTCGAACACGCAGAGCTCGGTGATGATCCGGCTGACGCACGTCTTTCCGGTCAAGGGGAATTCGCACTGCTTCACGATCTTCGGACCGCCCTTCTTATCCGTGTGCTCCATGGTCACCACCACCTTGGTGGCGGAGGGGTTCGATACGAGGTCCATAGCTCCACCGAAGCCCTTGATCTTGCCAGGCAGCATCCCTAACAAACATTGTCAACCAGACGGCCAAAAAAATAATTATACAAGGACCACTTACAGTTTGCCAAATCACCTCGGGCACTGACTTGCATAGCACCCAAAATAGTCAGATCGATCCGTCCCGAACGGATCATACCGAAGGACTCCTCGCTCCCGAAGCAAGCAGCTCCAGGCAACAGCGTGACCGTCTCCTTGCCAGCGTTGATGAGATCGGCATCCTCCTGTCCCTTCTGAGGGTAAGGACCCAGACCCAGAATGCCGTTCTCAGACTGCAGCATGACCTCTACAGAGGGATCGACAAAGTTAGGCGCCAGCATGGGCATGCCAATGCCCAAGTTCGCGTACATCCCGTTCTTGAACTCCTTCGCCGCACGACGAACGATGCGTTCGCGCTTAGCAGCAGTATCACCCTTACCCAGGGCAGCCGCCTCCTCGCCCTCTTCCTTGGCAAAGGTATACTTTTCGATATTCTTGGGGGCTGTGCTCTGAATCACCCGCTTGACATAGATACCCGGCAGATGAATAGCAGCGGGCTCAATCTCGCCCGGTTCAACAATATGCTCCGCCTCGACGATCGTCATCTTCGCATTGCGGCCCATGGCACCATTGAAGTTAGCCGCAGCATAGCGGAACTGGCAGTTACCCAGCTTATCAGCCTTCCAGGCCTTGACAAACGCATAGTCACCCTTGATCGCTTCCTCCATGACGTAGCTCTTCTTATCAAAGACCTTAACATCCCTGGGCTCACTGTAGAGCGCGACAGTTCCGTCGGAATTATGCTTCAGAGGCAACTCGCCCGTCTGCACAACGGTACCACAGGCGGCAGGGGTGTAGAAAGCCGGGATGCCCGCACCACCGGCGCGACAACGTTCCGCCAAGGTACCCTGAGGAGTCAACTCGAGCTCGATCTCTCCGGTCAGGTACATGCGCTCGAAGGTCTTATTTTCGCCCACATAGCTAGCAATCATCTTCTTAATTTGCTTAGACTGGAGAAGAAGACCGAGACCTGCTCCGTCGACACCAGCATTGTTACTGACGACTGTCAATCCCGTGATGGAGGGATTCGCGCGCACCGCGCTGATCAGGGTGTCTGGTACACCGGAGAGACCAAAGCCACCGGCCAATAGTGTTGAGTTGGACTTCATATCCTTGATTGCGATGTCTGCAGAAGAGACCACCTTGTTGATCTCAGGTCGACGAATGCTGCTAGAGAAAGCACGTACAAGGAATCGTTGGTGCTGGAGTAAAAGCATATGTCAGAATTATGATTTCCAATTTAGTCACATTTGGTGACACACAAGATCCTTACCTTGCTGGGATTAGCAGAGAACTGCCGCGCAAGGCGCAGACATGTCGCCACTTGTGACGGCATGATGGACCACGAGTAGAGGTATATATGTATGTAGCTTCGATAGTTACAGTTGGCAGTCAAATTGGGCAAAAGCTGTTAGGGTCCAGAGTTGACAATCACCCCCGAGACACAAGAAGGAAGAATGAAGTTATCAGAGGAACGTGAAGGAAGCGGAGAAGAGGAGGTTATATGAGGAATGGGTAAGTACGGCCACATGCGGAGTTGCGGAACGCCAGCCGCCATGCCGCCTTCCCCGGAATTCTCCCCGCACTTGTGCTTCTAATGCATAACCTATATACTGAGATCGGAGGCCTTGGGTTAGTCTGTTTTGTGTACCTCTTTATATTGAAAATGAATATGTCTTTTTTTTTAACCGGTAAATCTCATCTAGTTACTTCTCTTAAGGTCATCTGGTGCAATGGCCTCAGTCCCATGCACAGACATGCGACGGTCATTCAGCCTGCAGGGCAGCTTCTCCCCCACTTGTGCTGCCGACTGTCGTTCCGATCCCGATCCGCGGCCCGCTTCGGACCCGCCGCCGAAGTCATGACTAAACTGACTGTCACTGCAGCATAGATAAATTAGGTTGATTCTATCTGTGAGGGACATAAGACAGAAAATGACATGGTACATTATCATCAAATATCATGATGGAGGACATCACCTGCTATGTACAGGAAATCATGACAACATCTCCGCTAGCGCATGCACAAAGGATATCGTCAGAAAAGTTACACGCCCGCACAAACCAAACGGAACATCAATATCACTACAAGAATAACCCGTATCCTCGCAGTCTTCCCCGCCTCATATCATCCAGCTCTAAAGTCTTTGCTCGGTCATGATGTCCAGTCCTGCAATCTACCTCTATAGCTGAACTGTAGGCGTCCCCTAGAAGTCTAGGCCTAGTATGGATTTAGCCTCCATCGTCGCCCAGGCCCTTGCGTTTGAGTGGGTTTAACGTCGAGTCTCGGACCGGCGGCTTGACCTCTGAGCCTACCACTTTACATGGTCTAAGTCAGTGCTTGTCTTCGGTGGCCAACCCCAGGCAGTCTTGCCGGATCCTGCATTGGCATCGTCTTTAGCCTCCGTCATGGGGTGATCGACTACCGTACCTGATCCGCCCTGGTCTGTCCAGATCTCGTCGTACGCTGGTGGATTCATGTCCACATCTTCATTGGCATTCGTGGATTCTTCCAAGATTTCCCTGCAGACCGGGTCGGCGAGCCGATCCTTCATCGTGTCGTTGACGTATACCAGGAAGTATGGCGTGGGCGGGTTGGACTGCCCCTCGTCCTTGAAGATCTCATCCAGGTCGTTTACTTCGGTGACATAGTTGTCATTGTATTTCCTCCAGACGTTCCGTTCAAAGTCGAAGATGTAAATGTAGTAGTGGCCGAAGGAGACCGATCCGTGGTGGACGAAAACGGCATACAGGCGATACGCCAGGTACTTGTAGTCGGCAAACTGAGCGGTGATCTTGTTCTGGGTCTCCTGGATTTGGTTTTCGACATCTATTTCGAGTTAGCGCCTGCATATCAGAGGCCAAAACTTGGGAAGCGAGGACGCACAGTTCAAGTCAGCCTTTGCTATCTGAGAAAGCTGATCAACCTCGGTGATTATTTGCGTGTCAAAATCGATCGCGTCCTCTGCATAATCAGGCTCTTCTCTCATAGCTGCCAAGTCTTCGAGTACTTCCTTAGCGCTGTTGAGCAAACCCGCCGTATCCATGCCGTCAGAATCCTAGATTATGAATTAGATGTCTGGGCCCACAACAAGCGATGCGGGCGCAACCTACCACTTGACGCAGTAACTCCGCACGGCGCGCCTCAAGCTCTCTGAGCGAGTTCTTCCATTGCCAGCACTGCTGTCGCCGCTCCAGGAACTGCGGTTGCTGCGAGTCCATATATCGGTCAAGATAAATTGTCTCCTTCAATCCGAGATGGTGCGTGGACTTGAATGAGCGCTTCGTTGTGGGGTCAAACTGGACACGCTGAACCTGAATCTGAAGCACTGGCGGGAGCTTGCTGATAGCACCGTACTGCTCAGCCACCGAGTTCTCTACATTCACCTTCTGTACGTCAAAGGCACCGTCAATGGCTGCATATATGTCACGAGGGCCAGTTGCAACATCGATTTTGATGTCACACCACCACTCTTCTTTGGAGCGTACACCTTTTTCTGAAGCAATATACGATCGGGTGCGGCCGTAGAAAAGACTATAGGCAAGGCGTCAGTCATGGAATATTCGTGCCCAGAAGGCTCCTGACTTACTCTTTCACTTGATCGATTTGCTCACCCTCCGGAGAATGAGCAATGGGACGGATAGCACATTGGCTCTGGAAAAGCACGTTGTTGATAACTTCCGTCACATCCTGCTGCGCTCCGATCTCTACCTCTTCTATAAGCTGCTTCTGGGGGTCGACTTGCGGGGTGGGTCGCGGAGGCACTGGCGGTGGTCGATTGGAAGGTTCGACATTGTCTATGGGTGTTATATCGCCGGGGGACCCTAGTTCGGCAGAATCTGAACTAGGCTCGTCCTGCACGTCTTTCAAGTCCAGATCAGCCGGAGGTTCGTTCTCTTTATCGTCAATCGGAGGAGATTTAATGTCATTCTTGACACCATCAGAGACAAGTGTGGCCTCGCTATCGACATCGCTAACTGTTGAGCGCTTGACACCCTCGCTTTCGGTAGCCGTCTGGTTCTCCGCTTCTTTCTCCACTTCCTTCTCCGGAATCGGTTGCGGCGGCCCAAGAGGTCCTAGTACCGGCATGCCGTTGATTTCACCTAGGGCACCGGCGGGCCTATACGCGGAGATTGTAGACCGACGACGTATCGCTGCTTCGTTAGAAGGACTGATCAATGTCAACCGCGCCAACTCCTGGCCCGGTGTGACATGTGAGGACGGGGAAGTAATCATGTCGGAAAAGAGTGTCCTTAATTCTCTGAGAACTACATAGAACCTGCGTTAGTTTTACGGTCATACAAGTGAAATACAGCGCACTTACACCTTTGTGAACGTTCCACCTCCTTCTTAGAGACCTTGCGTGATCCCACCTGTTTCTTACTCAGGCTCTCATCAGTCAAGTCCATCTTGAAACTCTCAAAATCCAAGACCATCTCCCTGTATGGGCGCACAGAGAAATAGAATTGTAGCAGACTATTGAGGTAGCATGTGTTGCCGATGTTCTGCAATCCAACGGGCCATTCCGACATATTACGGTCCGGCTTTGTATCATCAGAAACCATACTTCCCAGCAGCGTGCTATTCTTGTCTTTGGCAATTATGCGCAAGGCTTGATTGTACGTCTCAGCTTGTCCCGGGGCTTCATCGACGCATATCGTATAAGCCGCCATTATTGCTCCATCGTCAACGGTACGATCAGGAATTTGGAGAAGCCGATAGGCATCCCCGATATCCATCTCACCCGCTGTCATCTCGCCAGTTCTGACGAAGTGTCGAAGAGCATCCGATTTCCGCGCCTCCGCAATAAATTCAACGGCACGGCGCGCAAGATCCCGGCTTGATGGTGTGTCATTGACCTGAAAAGCACATCAGCACACATTTACATGAATGAGTAATTGGCGACGTTGTACCTTAGCTGTATACATGGCCATGATGAAGTCATCGCTTGTCTCCTCGCTCACACCAAGGTAAACTTGCGCTTGCTCAACAGTTGCCACTCCTTTACCCTGTTAGCTGCAGATCTCGAATGTTCGCTGTGGGAGACCTCACTATCTTCGGCCGCTGACTTGATGCGCTCACTACGCCTGCTGTCTCCAATCTTCCACAATTCTCTGCGCGATTCTGTCTCCTGGGTGGTGGAGCTCAAGTAAGCATGGAAGGTCCCAATGATGCTGTCCTCGGTAAGCCGCGGATCGTCATGGGTCAAACCGAAGTACTTGTAAGCATTGATCACATCGTCATCAGTGTATTTGCCGTCGGCATAAGCCACTTGAACGGCTTGGTCAATGGCGTCAGCTTCGTAGCCCCCTCTAAGATTACCTATCGCCTTGAGACATTTCAGGTATGTGGGCATGCGACCAGGGTCTACAGCGACCTGGCGATTGAACGCCTCAATAATCAATTGCGCAGACATGTCTTCCACGACGCCCAAATCTTCGTAATAACTAAACCTTCATCAGTCCACGTCAACAGGTCAAGTTTGTATAGCACGTACGGAGCAGGGGGCATTTCGAATGAGTCGACATTGAGAGCCTTCTGGTCTGAAGGAGCTTGGTAAGCATGCGGCCTTTGAAAGAGTGGTGATTTGACCTACAGTTTAATGCTTCCAGAGCATTCAAGAGGTCATTCTTTGCTATTTGATATGAAAATTCAACCTGGTGGCCCTTCTTCTCAAGTACTGGCCTTTGCTCGATGAGTACAGCAAGCTCATGTAGAACATCATCGAGGAATATTTTGAGTTGATCCTGGTAGGGGACTTCGGCCCAGGCGTTGGGGCGCGGAGGCTCCCAGAAACCTTCGTTCTATGTAGAGTTAGGTATCGATGTTGCAGCAATCGGCAGGCATATACAGACCTTGACAGAGAAACCCAAAAACTCCAACAGGCCTTTGCAAGGCTTGCCTTCAACACCGAAGCACGCCATGAACCTCTTGTTGATCGCTGATATGGATTTACCCTGTTGACTGGGATTGAAGGCGTTGGTGATATATGTGCGCAAGTTTTCCAAGACATTAATGGGCTGCGGCCGAGCTATCCCTTCCAGGCGCTCGGGGTGTGTTGCAATCGCCTCATCTGCTCGCTGCTGCAGCAACTCCGGATCGGTCAACAGCTGTACCCATTCCGGATGTAGCACAGGAGACACAATCCTGACGGACACTGTCGTTGGACAAGTGAGGTAGGAGCAGTCATAATGGAAGGTCTCCGCCACCTGGCCCTTGGGTGTAATTTCTTCTGCCGTTGCACCTCCTCTCTGCCTCCCTGACTTATATACCAGATGGTGTATGTGTCCCGGCACACTCTGGCTGCCGATCCCAGGTGTCGATGTCACGACCAGCTGCAGATGGTATCGGCACTTGGAGCATATCGCTGATACTTTGGTGGGGTTGCCTGAGCTGCTTCTCTGCTCTGGCTTTGGTAGGAAGCTTTGTTTCGATTTGATCACATAAGTGTGACGGCAAGCTGAAGGCGATATGAATTCTGATGGTCCAATATAGTGATCGGGGAAGACCGGGGGCACCTCCGACAGCAGGTTGCGGCCGGAGCCTGGAGGATGAACAGGGTCATAGTCGTGGATATCTTGCACAAGACGTGGGGCAGTCTTGCCTAGAAGACGAAGACATTATCATTAGTCCAAATGCGCATTCTCTGCAGGTGCTCCGAAACCTGAGAAAGTGATTCGGGCTGTAGGAGGCTGTGATGCATACCAGGCTTCTGCGGAGACGACATGGGTAGGCTCTTATGAGCTCACAGTTGCCGGCGAGCCTTAAGCAAACGAATTCTAAAGCTATTTGTGAGGTTATTCACATGAAGTCTGGAAATGAAAGGAAGAATAACGACGCGACTCTCTTGCAGGGATGAGCCACGTTATTGTATCGAACACATTCGATTCTATTGGAAACAGAAAGCTGGACCGTTAGATCGTAACAGCGGGGAGTCACTGCAGCAAGTGAGGCAGAGCAGGCGGCAAGTTTCCAGCAAACGACCCGCCACTCTCAACGCGAACAGTTTTAGAAACAATATAAGACAACCACTGAGCGTGCAGGAGGAGACAGAGAACGATGCCCGCACGCCAAGGGAGGTAATCAAGAGGTTTGGGCATAGATCAGATGCTCAGGTCAAACGGACTGGGAAAGCTGGGAACCTGGGGAAGGCGGTCTGTTGAGGCAGAAAGCGCAAGGTCCCAAATTCATCGAATCTCATCTCCGTCCGGACGACATTCGAGAGTGACAGCCACAGCTTAATCTCAGCTCCTCAACCGCCACCATGGCTCCGCACCACGAAGAGCACTACCACCCCAAGGATGCGATCGCAGCATCGATGAAGACCACTATGCTCACTGGTGGAGCGGGTCTTTTCGCCTCGGCCGTCCAGAACACCCTCACCAGACAGAACGTCGGCCCGCTGGGCGTGTTCATCCGGAGCGGTGGTACCGTCGGTATCTTCGGTATGAATGCAATTGTGGACGCCTAGCGAATATGTTCTGAATTCAATGGGTTGCTAACGATTTTCGCGTCCAGCCGCCATGGGAGGTACCTACGAATTCGTGAAGACCGCATCCGCCAACCTTCGTGAGAAGGAAGACCACTGGAACGTCGCTCTGGGAGGTTTCTTCTCCGGCGCCATCCTGGGTCTCCGAGGTCTGTTGCCCGCGATCCGACCGTTTCAATTGATCAAACATTGGTTCTGACAGGTCCGCAGCTCGCACATTCCCCGCCCTCCTGGGCTACGGCGTCGCTCTGGCCACCGCCACGGGCGCTTTCGAATACACCGGTGGATCGTTGTTCGGCCACAAGAAGAACACCGATATCGACGAGTTTGAGCGTCGGGAACAGCTCCGGAAGACATACAGAATCCCCGCAGAGCAGACTCTTGCCGAATTGGGCGAGGGACGAGGTGCGTCTTTCTTGTGTTGGAGGCAGATTGCCGTCTGCTGGAAGAGAACCCACGACGTTGCTAACCCGGTTACACAGGTATCTATGGCCCCGGATACGCCGAGAGACGGGCGGAGAGAATCAAGGAGGCATACGGTATCGAGGTTCCCACAACGGCTCCGGCATCATGAACATGGTTTTGTTAGATATCTCTCCTGCGCAGTCCCTCAATTCTCAGTCTCGTTGTGTAAAACTACTACTACATCTTTTCTTATTTCTGTCGATGCCGTTCAGCTAGCCGACATGGCACCTCCACCAATGAAGATTCCATATTTTTTGTTCTACATCAAAGAAGTACTACACGGATCACCGACCGGTTACAATTTCCGAAAATAGATACAGCACACCCTGCTAGTAGTACCTCTACATAGCATCAAATGCATGATCTGTTCACCGAGAGCAGCCAAGCTGTGAGAGGCGAGGGGTAAGCAAAGCATAGCATAGCATAGCATAGCTCAGCAGAGACAGATCAGGTGCCCGGTCAGTAGACACAGAACAACTTATCTCAGAAACCACTCAAACTATCATCTACTATATAACTTGTTCACCGCAGGGGCAATATGCAAGTTTGCTTTTTTCCCCCATCTTACTGTACGCTTCACTTCCCTGGAAAAGGTTCCATAAGATCGGTAAGTAAGACGAACAGCAGAATCAGGTGACACTGACACCGCCGATAAAGTTGATACCACCAAGCGCAGGGCAGCACAACACCGGCTGGGCTGCTGGGATGGTTCGAAGCGGCGAAAGGCGGGGAGGGCAGCTGAACCCGCCAGTCTGTTAACCAATCACACAGCCGGCTTATCCAATCCCAGGCAAAATGGGTGTGGGCGTTCTGTCACACAGAATATGAAGTGAACGACTACTCTACTTGCTCTCTCTCCCTGCACTACGTAAATAGATAGCATGTACTTTATAGAAAGACGATGTTTCAAGTTTGGTTTGGTCGGGCAGGTCAGCAATGAAGTACCAAGTAAGGTAAAGAACAGACATGACAATCTGCAGGACAACCGCGGAGTTGAAGTATGAGACTGGTGTTACGGTGCTGGGGGAGGGGGAGGAAAGGGTGAGCAGTAGTACGTTGTGGTGGTTTCTGTCAATCTATTGACATTGATACAAGGGGGTGTGCACGATAATCAGATGCAGGGGAAAATATGATATCACCTTTTTCCCCCCCTCCCCGGGGGAGGGAGGGAACCAAACACCCCCCTTTGAAGGTTGGAACCAGCCGGAGTTGATCGGATCAGCAGCTGGGATATGGTTTGATCTTTCCGTCGGTCAATGTTCATTGGATAGCTTCAACATGGAAAAGTGACGGATAAGAACTACTTACTAAGGTGGCAGAAATAGTCTGTTTGCCATTACTGACCACTTGCACGCTATGCATGATACATTTACCCAGTATGTATGTATGTATGTATGTAAGTGCTGGCTGGCTTATGGAGCAGATTCTACTAATTCTGGACCAACCGTCGACCCTGCTACTCCCTAATCTCAGCACTGCAGATTACACCCGCAACATTCTAGTACTTGTACAATAGTGAGCTACGTCAAGTAGATTGATATGGAGATTGCTGGTGGACTCATGATTGCGTTAGAAATACATTTTGAAGGATTTAAGTTCGACGCTTAAACAAGATGAATTTCTGAGCCACAGCAGTTCAGCTGGGTAAGTAAGCAAGCAAGTTAAGAGGCAAGGTGTGTGTGGGTGTACCCGTACAAAGTACTGCAACACAAGAAAAGAAAATCCCAATGTCGAACCCCATCGCAGGAAATCCATCCGGATCGACATGAACATGATGAACCGTGCATGACGTCGAGGGGTCAAAGTTGGTGTCGGACTTTCTGGTTTGCTGCCTTGACGATACCCAAAAGGGGAAGACAAGAACCACGACGATCGGCCCGACAGCCTCCTTTTTTCCCTCTTCTCTACGTGCAGTTCGTGAGAGAGTGGTGGGTGAAGGGACAGTTGCCACCGCGTTGGGCCAAGGCAGGAGGGGGGGAAGGGAACCTAGGAAAGGGAAAAGGGGGAACTCCATCGAAGCCATGAAGAACGATTGCGCGCCGGCGCTAGAAAAGCCAACCCCCCCGATGAGCGGGCTGGTGGAGAGGGTTACAAAATGATACTTTGTACTATGTGGATGAATTTACAGTATTTTATGATGACTGCCATTTCCGCTTAGATGAGTATGTATTGGGGAAAGTGATTGGCCCAGCGGACAATCCCCGGCCAAGCAATTTGCCCGTTCAGCCAGTCAGATGCAAGCATAGCCACACCCACCAGCCTTGCTTGTTCAGAAGAGGTAAGTGCAGACCGATGAACAAGCCACTCCTTCAGTCCGGCCTTGAATTAATCTGCTGCCATTCAGTGAGTTGTTGCTAGTGGTGCGGTGCTGCACGGTAGGATTCACTACTGTCTTCTCAAACAGCAAGGATGAAAGGCAGAATGATTTTCCTGGCGGGGAGGCACTCAACAATTAGTAGTTTACGATTACTACCAGCTTAGTACTGGGGGACCCTATATGATGAATTTGGGCGGGATACGAACTGTGATGATGTTGGCGGAGGGGAAGTGATGACGATGACTTGCCAGCTTCGCCTCTCCTGAACAAGGGAACAGGCAACGGCATTAAACCCACTTCCAATTCCCCAGCAATACTACTTACTAACAGTGTCTATCTGCCTGCCTGCCTGCCTGCCTGTCTTGTCTGTTCCTTAGGAGTAGATCCTTCTGTTTTATTAATATTTATTTCTCTTCATTTCCGTGGGGAGGTTATTTTTATAATACTACTAGTATTATTCTTGAGAGTGTCGACTCTAATTAGCGACGAATGCGGTATCATCTGTGGTCCTGCTCTGGAAAAGGAGACCATTCCGATCGACCACGATCACAAGCAAACTATCTACAACTACTTTGCGACTACCCCGATCTCTCAGCTCTGATTGCATGACTCTGCGTGTGTGTCTGGCTGGTTCTAGTTCAAGGATCTGGTGAAGTCAAGTCGGGCCCGGGGATTCCGTTCCAACCTTTGGGCGTCATACCGTCGCAGACTTTCACCAAACAACTGGGTGCTTTTGTCCGGCGTAGACGTCATCCGGAACCGGCACTTGAATTATAGCTTCCATCATTTCCTCTCTCCCCCCTTTTATCACGACGAGCAAGAAGCAAGAGAAAACAGTTTGAACTTGCATCGGAGGATTTCTCGTGCTTTCTCCTGAGTTTTACATTCTGTTTGTGGATGAGTTGGATCCCTCCACTACCAACTATATTGTCGATCTACCTGCCGCCGGATCTTTTGTCACTGACTTACTTCTCCCCTGCCCTACCTCACTTCAGTACTCAGTAGTTTTTATACTACTACGTACTACTCTCACTTGGCTTCCGCTTCCCTTATTACTTACTATTACTCTGGGATCCATATCCTCTTCCATCGTCCGTTCGACCCGGTGGGGCCCAATCTCCCTGGGAAACTAAATAATAACCCCCGAGACGCGTTCTGATCGGCTGCTGATTATTCCTGCTCCTGCACCGACTACTCCGGCCACTATTGCGAGCGCAATCGTACTAGTCTCACCCGCTAACCCGTCCTTTTCCTCACTACTTGCTGTGTTGGTGCACCGACTTGCAGACGACGACGACAAGCACCATCGCGCTGGACGGATAGGAGTTGTTGCTGGCTCTTTTGCCCCCGCAAACAGTCCGCCCCAGACCCTTTGGGCCAGAGTCGAGACACTTCCGGCTGGTCGCTAATTTCCACTTGCTCGATCCCCCCCCCAATTCGCCCTGGTAACCACGGCTAGGCTTGCTTGACACTACCGCTACTACCACCATTACTACTATCTGCTCCGTACTGTCCTGTCTCCCTTCTCCTCCCCCCAAAACTAGATCCGTCGTGATTCGTTCCGGGGTGGTGGATTCAGATCTCTCTCCTTTTTTCTCCCCTCCTATTCTCATTTCTTTTTTTATATCGCGTTTCATGATATATTATCAGACCTTACCCTCATATTCTTATCACGGCCGCCCGCATCCGGAACTGTCTTGCACCCAAGCTTGCAACCACCCGGTCGCTCGATATCGACACACGGGCCTAGCCAGGTCTGCACCGCCCGATTGTTCCTAACTGCTACCACCCTCTCCGTTGTCCGTCACATCACCGCCCTCCTCCTCTTCCTCCCTCCCCCTCTTCCCTCCCTTTCCCCTCCTCCTCTCCAGCCATGGCTATGGCCGTTAGGTCGCAAACGCCAGTGCAGGACACTTACGGCTCTATTCCACACCACCCCGACCTGCTGTTGAATCGCGGGTACAGCACGCGCTCTAGCTCCCGGCCGAATTCGATCGTCGCCAGCACCTCCGGTTACCTTGCGCACGGCGCCAATCCTGAGGCACCAACCTCCCACCCGTATAACGGCCGCTTTCACGAGGAATTCGATGTCGCCAGTCAGCGTGACTCGGTAGACGGTCCATCCGGCATGCAGCGATCCGCTTCCCAAATGTCACAGACCCGTTCCGCGACCCCGACCCGGACCAGTACATTGAAGAAGAAAGCATCCCTCAGCAAGAGGGGCAGTATGCGCCGCAGCGGCAGCAAGCGCAGCTTGCGCGCAGGCAGTGTACGAAGCCTGGTCCTGGGTGACAAAGAAAAGTATGGCGCCGATGGCGAAGATCCGAACAGCGCTTTCTATGTTCCTATTCCCACGAATGGAAGCCCGACTGAAGTTCTGGCCAATCGCTTTCAAGGTATTTCAGCATGTTGTCCCTCGATTTTGCTTCTCTGATGTGCTAATTTATGGTAGCATGGCGCAAGGTCCTGAAGGACCTCATTATCTTCTTCAAGGAAGTGCAGAAGTCCTACGAAACCCGATCGAAACTGTTCCTATCAGCATCCAATATCATGCAGAACACATCGCTTCCCCCCACGTTCCTCAAATCCGGCGGTCTGTCCGATGCGACCGACATTTTGCGCGACTTTCACCGACAAGGATACCTGGAAGCGAACAAAGCCGCGGAGGTGGAAAGCGAGGTCGTGAACCAGCTGATGGGTTTGCGGAACGATCTGCAGAAGAAGACCAAGGAAATTCGGGGTCTCTCTGGGGATTTCCGCAACTCTGTGGAGAAGGAAGTCGACGCCACCCGCAAAACGGTGCGACACTTGCACGAAGCGCTGGGTTTGGTTGACACCGACCCTTCTGCAACCTCTGGGAGAGGCGATCCTTTCATCGTTCGCCTGGGCGTGGACAGACAAATTGAGAAGCAAATCGAAGAGGAAAATTACCTGCACCGGGTATGTGGTTCATCAGCAAAAATTGCAGGATGCGGAGCACTAACGTTTTTAGGCATTCTTGAACCTAGAACATTCTGGTCGCGAGCTCGAGTCCATCGTTGTAGGCGAGATACAGAAAGCATATAATGCATATGCCAGCATCCTCAAGCGTGAAGCAGATGAGACATATGACACTGTCGAAAAACTGCGCGCGGGGCCGATCTCCATGCCTCATGATCATGAGTGGAACTCCTTCATCGCGAACACGGATGAACTGGTCGATCCGCGCGTTCCTCTTCGCGATGTGGAAAATATCACATACCCGGGTAGGGATCATCCCGCGGCAGTGGAGGTCCGATCCGGGATGTTGGAGCGCAAAAGCAAGTACCTCAAGAGCTATACACCCGGCTGGTAAGTCTCACTCGGGATGAAGGTCCCATGTCTCCTAAACTATTTTTGCTGACTTGAGTAGGTATGTTCTGTCTCCTACTCATCTTCATGAGTTCAAGTCTGCCGATCGAGTCGCATGGCAACAACCGGTGATGTCATTGAACCTTCCCGAACAGAAGCTGGGGTCGCATTCGCAGCCCGACTCGACGTCGCATAAATTCATGCTCAAGGGGCGACAAACCGGGACCATGCACCGGGGTCATTCCTGGGTCTTCCGCGCGGAGTCGCACGATACGATGATGGCCTGGTATGAAGACATCGAGAGCCTCATCTCGAAGACTGGCGAGGCTCGGAATGCATATGTGAGGCAGCATATTCGAACTGTGAGTGGCATGAGCTGGCGGAACAGCAGTGATGGGATGGATGAAGACGAAGCAGACCGCACACCGTACTCTGCAGAGTCGGCAGTCTTGCACCAGGAACGTCCGACGTCTCAGCCTCGCGAACCGGGTGGGCGTTTCCCCAGTGATGTGCAAATAGACCGCCATTTGGAGGCTCCACTGTCACCCTCTAGTGGTGAAAGCTCTGGTGAGAGAGATCTTCTAGCCGCAGCCGGCTCCTTACCTGACGGTCGGGATTCATTCAGCAATGATGTAGAAATGGGCCAGAACCGTGCTGGCAGTGCTGCTGCTGCAGCAGCTCCAGTGGAGAGACACGATAGCTACTATGGCAGCTGGATGAGCACGTCAGATGGCGGTCGACAGAGACAGTTTGGCCAACACACCCAAAACTCGAACGACAACCGGGAAAGAGTCGGATCTGATCGAGGGAGCACCACGAATTTATATGTGGCGGGACTTGGGACCACAAACTCTCGCGACCCTTCTCTGACCCGCCAGAGGGAGCGCGGCGAGAGCACATCAACCGCACTAACAACGACGAATGTAACCGACTACACTCATACCACCGTGCCCACGTCGATTGATGAACGGGAAGAGTCTGACGCTCAAGATGACACCTTGGTGGACGACGGTGTGGGCATTACGAAGCAGCAATCGGCGGCTTCGGTAGACGGCTCAATGCGGACGCCACTGGCTGGACCTGTCACAACCGATTCGGCGGCTGCCTCACAAACCGGAAGCCTCAGGCGTCCTCCACCGCAGTCCAAGAATAGTGTGTCGACGCTTGAACTACAGATTCCAGGTCATTACCCTCCTACCGGTATGGCTGCATAAGCAACGACTATGCTCCGGCGCTGTGTTGCTATTTTCCCATGTCACCAATTTCCTTTGTTGATTTCCTTTGTTACTTTCCTATGTACATTATTCTCACGCATGCATATGTGGATGTGATGATCTCTTCCATTGGAAGGAAGATTACTCACTTCCAAAACCGGGAACGCTGAAGTCAGGCAATGAGCCTACTAGCTGCGCCCCTAACATATTTGACATATCACTATTCGGCGTTTGCAATGTGACAGGTGGTGGTGACCGGTCCACGGATGGATGGACGGACCGGATGGACGGTTGGATGATCAAGGCGTTTGGTTCAATTCTGGATAACTGGCTGGGACTTGTTTCTTTTTTCACTTCTTGCACTTATGCACCGTTTGCGATGCCTGGTTTCTTCAATTCTCTGTACAATATTCCCCCACCATTTGAACTTTTTGGTCTTCATCTTACTTTTTCTTCAGCTGGTTGATCTGAGCTTTCTTTCTGCGTCTGCTATATTTTGCATGCTTGTTGCTTTGCTTGTTTTTGAACCTGGTCTGGTCGTCGGGAGTTTGAATCCTCGGATGGATGCATGCAAACAAACACACGGATCGTTTGTCCTTCATCAGGACTTTGGATATCTATCTATATAGCTTACGAATGAACTGAACTGCATTTATAAAATGCCAATTGATAGATTAATAGGGAGGCGCCATTGCCACACCGGCCAGGCTGCCTCCATAACAGCCTTCGCTCATGCCACACCCACCAATACACTTCAAGAAGCTAAGGGTTGTTTTGAGTGCATGCAGATTTCATACCAATTCTAGCTTCTACCTGAGGCCAACAGTGGAGTCACTTCAGGTAGAAATAATAGTCGCCTCAGGCATCATTACAGGCCTCAGGCGATGACTGCGTCTATTAGAAAGGCGGTATGGATCCTGTTGGTTCTACAAGTAGTAGTACATACAGTAGCGCCTTCCTTTGTGAACAGTATACAGCCCGAACCCACCAATCCTCTCAATTTTTCGGCGCAAACTTACTTAAAACTACATGTGGAATACCTACTGACCACTTGACCGTTCACTAAACATCTTTTCCCCAGAGAAGGGAGAAATGCAGCTTCTCAGTCTAGAACACATCAACCTACGGTACTACGGATTTTGATGCTGATGGGGGATGGGAGATTATATCTCGACCTCCTCCGTCTGCGTGACTCGTTCACCTCTCTATGTGGACTAATCATCACTATGACATGGATCTAGGGTCTCCACGGTAATTAGCAAATGCGCAAATTCTATTGGTGTCAATCTATAGGGGCGCTGGAAAAATAACAAACAGTCTATAGGGTATAGTGGTTGAAAACCAGAAAAGAAAAAGGGAGGCGAGAGAGAGACAGAGAGACAGAGAGACAGAGAGAACCAAGAACGAGAACCAAGAACGAGAGATACAGTCTGAGAATAAACGCAACAAGCACTAGATCAATCGTCACAGAAACGGAAAAAGATCCAAGATAATATGCATCGAGATCCTAGCCGTTCACGACGGGGATCAAGTCTTGGGGAGACACCTCATGAAAAAACTCAGCTAACTCAGTTTCTATCCGGTCCTGACCATCCACTATGCAAATTCTCCAGTGGATGAACATTGCCGATCCCAGATGAATGGACCAGAATACTTTCAGGCGGTATTCATGAACCCTCCCTTGACCAAAATTGACCCAGTTGATTGGTACGTTTGCGGGGATCTTGACTCGTTTGACGGCTGTTAAAGCTAACATGATGATGATATGTCAGTATCGCAAGAAGAAGCAGTGGCCGGTACTGGGGATGAATGCAAGAGGCAACTAACTTTCCGCTTGTCGTACAATGCGAATCTGAAGAAAACGGTCCTCCATCCGCTGGGGTACCAAGCGCATCCTCTCAGGGGGTTTAAAAGACCCTCTCGCAGGCACGTCTCTGCGTCCCTTCCCATAACAGGCAGAATTAGCGGAGAATCCTGGCTTAACAAGGCAGTGGCGGGGACCTTCTCGTCGACTCACTCTTGCAATAATCGTATTGGTAAGAACTTTGTCTGGCATACCGTCGCCATACACGTCAACAGACGGAAAGCACAATTCGTACTGGGAGAGACATTCAAACCACCGCACTTCAGGCTCCCTTTTCGCACGTAACAATGCCCCTTGTGCAACTGCACTTCTGATGCTGTTACAAAAGTCAATAAGGGCATACTGGTAGGAAGAAGAGGGCAACCTACGTGTCTGGCAAAGCATCCACTAACTTAGGCGGCGTGTTCACGTAGACGTCATCGAGCGCATGGCGAACTTGGGAGCGAAGGTATTCTGATTTTCCCAAACCCCCGACAAGGACCACTTTTGTGATTTTGGGTCCTGTCAACGAGATTTGTTGGAGAATCATATCAACTATTCCGTCTTTAGTCGGACCAAACGCCCCTATCAAATCATCGCGGGTGAATTGGTGCACAATTTGCCTGCCTTCAGGGTCCTGAAGCTCAACTTCAGGAATCACGTTCCCAAGTCGACCGGTAAAGTTCTCCTTGGCCCGGCTGACCTCACGCCGAGCCAGAGTAGCAGCAGCTCCCCTTCGCAGGCCATTATTACCTCTCCAGTGAGCCTGTCGGACCTGCTCCATCAAGGCGGCATCAATGTCCACGGCGCCGAGCCGGAAACCTGGGGACAGATCAGCTTCCATATAACGGATCATAAGTAGCGGCAGCTGGGTGACACTTACTGACTGGATCTCTAATAGGCTGGGAGGTGAAGGGGTGGATGCCGTTCACCCGTAAGATAGCAATGTCCTAACCAGATTGTCAGCTGGGTGATCAATGCGTGGCCTTGTTCTGTGTGAGCCTTACAGTTGTGGCCCCGCCACAATCACATACCATTACAATATCCCCTTGCTAATTGTACAAGTTGTCAGCAGTCTCCACACATTCAAGAAATCCTCGCTCCTGCCGCAGCTGCTTACCTGAATGAGTCCCCTGTTCGCACCTTCAAAAGCGGTGTATTCGGCCGCAGCCTCTGCCTCAGTGACAAACGAAACATTGCAGGCATGTCCAATGAACATACGATTCTGGATTGTGGTGCGGAAGTCGAGTCGGCCCTGCTCACTCCAGCATCCAGGCTCCGTAAAGCACCACTCGATCTGCGCCGGTCCGTATCTCTGGAGGTGAACCAGTAGCTCTTGCTGCAGGCCCCTGAGGAAGTCGCCAATGAGCCTGTCGGCAGCATCCCGCCCCATGGTACCCCCGATGGCACCAACAAGATTATGTTCTTTCAACTGCACTACAGGGGAGCTGTGGATCAACAGCTTAAACCACACATGAGGATTTGGACGCAAGGCGGCTGTGTTGCCCCAGATTGTCTGGCCGTTTTCGTCATAGTCGATTGCTGTTGGTATGATCCAATTAGGGGCACCTGTGGGTATCCATAAATACGTATGATTGTCCGGGCCGGCACATGCGACAACTATAAAGCACAGCTCATCAGCAACTAAACGGAGATACAAAGGACAAGGAAAGGAAGGGAGACGAAGAAGAAAACGGAAAGTGTAAAAGGAGAAATGGGTAAATGGGACTTGCCAGTCTTTGATGTCCCAATGTCAACCCCGATAAAAATCCGGTCGTGATTCATTGTGGCATTCAAGAAATGTTGCTGATGCTGGAGAAATCGAAAGGGAATGGATAGGTCATGGATGACGAATGGGGTTCTATGTATTCAGGACCGGCTGAATACATACACCATAAACTGCGATGGGATGAGAAAACAGATGGAAGAGCAGCCGGCCTACCCTTTTATGATAGTTGACGCTGTGTCGCTGTGTCTCTGGGGAGGATCGGAGTTACTACTACTCCTCTTGCAAAGTCTATCACCGTCTATGATACTATATTTGGAGAGTACCAGAACAGCTTCTTCTCTTAGCACTCCAGCTCATCTGGCCATGTCTCTCTCTGTCACACTTCTGCTCACGCATGACCCTACCCCTGTCTTGACTGATCTGCCACTTAGCTGAGGGATGGTAACCAAGAAGGTATGATCGCGGCTGAAACCCTCAGGCGGCTAGACTCCGGGTTGGGCGATGCCTCACATCGCACAAAGAGCCGGGCAGCCTTAAGGGCCAATGAGCAGCAAAGAATCTTGGGGTTGAACTAAAAGAGCTGGCTGAATGAATGAATGAATGAAGAAATAGACTTCCGGCCGAATCTTCTCCCTTCATCCTGCTCAATTTCCCCTCCGTTTACTGTTCCTCCCAATTTCATTCCTTCTCCTTCTCATCATTCTTCCCACCTCCCTTCTCCCAGGCCAACCCAGAACTACCTCTTCTACTTGACTTACTTGAACCACTTGAGCCAACCAACCAATAGCCAGTATGGTCACTACTCGGAAAAAGCAAATGCCGCCCAAGCGTCCTCCCCCAGCCGTACAAGAGAAGGGAAAGGGGCCAGCTGTGTACCCCAATGGAGAGTATCTCTGTCAACAAGAGGAGTATCATGACATAATGGAACATCATTTCATGATGGGCATGCTCACACGACCTCATATACGATCCGCTCCGGAGATAGTTCGCAACGGCTTTAGTCTGCTCGCTCTACGCGTCCAGGGCTGGGCCATGGTATGGGGTGAAAGCAAGCCGTTGTACCGTCTCTCTGATGATGACAAACAGATGATCATTGCAAGCCTGGATGGTTTTTGCGTCCAGGATGACTGGGACAGTATATATTCCTCTCTTCCCCCTGGCGGTCGTGCTGAGATTGGTATTGTTTTATTGGAAACCATGATGAATAAGTTCATTTACGATAAATTTGCCGCCTCTACGTTCTGGTTCATGGATGCAAAAATGGATGCTACTGACCAGGAAGGCGACGACAACTTCTGCAAACGACTTAACTATGTCTATGAGAGGTTCAAGGAAAGTAAGTTTTAAGACCCCTTCGTCCTCCCCCACCCTCTTTGTTTTCTCCCCACGCTGAGGAGCTAATGTCGCTGACTTTACCCTTTTTCTGTTCCTTCTGCATAGCATTGCCCAAAGACGCTGCCTGGTGGAAGTCGACCCTCGTGAGCGTATGTATGATGAGAGGCTCAGAATGGGTGTCCAATCCTCCTCCCACACCACTCCTTCATGCGACATCGGAACGCCGAAAGGCCCTCCTCAAGGCGTATGGAGACGAACTGCTAGCGAGCCAGCCATTCCAGCTCTTATTCCGAGGCTCACTGAGCGAGGAAGATCAGGCAATACGCGAAGAAAGAACTCGCGAAGTCCTAGAGGAAGCTGCCCATCAGTTCACCAGTCTCCAAGGCGATATGTTTGGCAATCTTGTAGTTGAACTACTGCCTGAGCTTCCGATCTTTGATCGCCATGCCAATAACATGGATCATCATATCCTTCACGTCGGCTTCATGCCTCACCACGGTGCTCGGGTTCTAATCGTGACACGCCCGCATTACAGCTATCATGACATTGTAGCAACCAATGGTTGGCAATCTCGGCCTCCTCTCCAGATCGTTACCGCAAGGGTCCTGACGGCACCTAAGGGGCCCAAAGCTCGGGCTCGATGGGCTGCTGCTGGCGATAAGCCCATTTTTGTCGCGCAGGGTCATGACAATACCGCGGAAAAGGAGGGAGTTGGCCAAGAGGAAGATGTTGAAGAAGGTAGTGATGGTGAATACAAGCCACGGAAGTTGCGGAGGACATATTTGCGAGGAGCTGAAGATGAATGAGGGGTATCAGCCTGGGAGTAGACGGACGGGTGTTTGTCGTTGATATAGGGGCACTATATGTTTTCTATTGTGCTTCAGATCTGTCTCTTCCTTTCTTTTGTTTCTTCTTATTCTTGAACGTTTCCCTTATCGCTGGTGTATCTCTGTCGTTCATTCTTTTCCATTAATAGATTGCTTTATTTCGAATAGTAATATCGATTGTCCAGCTTTCTTACTTTACATAGTATGATTTTGGAGTAATCATGTCCAACACATGCATACATTGCACTAGCTGTGGAAGACTGCCCTCCCGCCCCAAAGAAAACCCTGGATGCTTATCCCTGGAACACTTACTATAGACAGCAAGGCCTCCTCATAAGCCAGCCAAGATGTCTTTCAATCGCTACCATGCATGGTTGACCATGAACCCATTATCTATCTATTCTCGATCCTACTATCTACGAGGTAATAATTGTTCACGTAATTTAGTCCAATCAATCTCCAGAATTAAGTTTGGTATATACTTTAATTGATTACAATACCATATACTCACCCCCGGATATCAACTCCGATGATAAACAGAACATACTACTTACCGAACAGCGAAATTCGATGTGTGGCTTAGTGGTCTAACTCACTCCTAAGTCCTGAACCCCGCTATCTCTGTAACTACGTATTCCCGCTACGAGTCATCGACGTGGGCCCCGTACCCATAATACTGAAGAGATTTAAGTGGGAGGTAGATAGTGCAATTTATCTGGTGATAGTCGATCTGGCAAGAAACCGATTCTACAGAACACGCCACCGCATCTGCTGAGAAGAGGGTGGGTCTGAGGGTGTAGGCAATGTATCAAAGCGTGGCCTGCCTGCAGCCTGTCATCTATTTTGCACATCTCACCGTCAGTACTAGGATAAAGTCTAATTAGATGATAGACTGGAGGTGGCCACTTAGACCCGTAAGTAACCCTAGCCGGAAACAGTCTACTGAAGAATCTCGAGTTTGGGGAGGTGTTTGGGGGGGGGGGGGGGCGCATCCAGAGAGAAAATTTCGAGAAAAGTCGGATTCAGTGTGATGATCAGCTGGCGGGGATGTGGCTCACAGTCTTACTAGTAGTAATAAGTAGATGTGGATGTGGATGGGGCGATAGATCGTGTTGAAAAGGTAGACTATACTATAGTAGGGTTCCTGAACTGGCATTCGATATAACCTGAGATGAGTGGGGGGGGGGGGGGAAGTTCAACTTGATTAGTAGTATAATCACATATATCATGTTCATAAGTCATAGTGATGGTATCATGTTCCCAAAAACCCCAACTCGTTGACTGGAACACTGCGGGTATATACTCCGTACTAACTAACTAGTAACTAGACTAGCGCGTGGCTGAGGTTTGAGGCATGGTTGTCCCCCCCCCCCAAAAAAAAAAAAAAAAAAAAAAAAAATCTAGTGAAAGAGGATGAGGCTGCTAAGAAAGCAGAAGAAGAGAGATTGGCCCAAGAGAGAGAAGACGAAGCGATAAACAATATTTATCAGCCGAACATTCGTGATGAACAGATGAGAATTTTGAATGATATAAATGAAGTAACTCAAGTGAATTTATGTTGTATCACTCTGATTAGGATCTATATTCATGTTATAAGTATCCTTTGGTAAAGCCTGGCTATTGTCAGCTACTACTCAGTGGATATTTTTATCTTTAGTTAGAAAGTAATTTGAATTGATAGACTTCTAGCATTGTGATAAGAGTGCTTGGAAAGATCAAGATATGATAGAACGGAATTGGTCTATAGCAGTTCTCTCTTTCTCCGCAGTATACCCTCCCGAATCAACCCGTTTCATCCTCCTATATATATTACTGTCTAAACAATGATATCGACAAATATGAAAGTCATAAGCTAAGTAGCTATGACAGTAGTAAGATCCAACTATAAGTCCGAATACAAATGGCAAATAATTAGTAGACCATGAAAGCAGAGTGAACTATATCTTGACTTCCTATAACAGGTGAGTAGAGAAGAGGTAACTAGTTAGTAAGGAATCAGGGATCTTTTGGACAATATCTTTGTCTTGGAAGTTGAGTCTTAATTTCTTCGATCATTATGGATAGTAGTGGTCATCCTTATGGGATTATCACCATTGCTTATAGGTAGTACTATAGTTCATTCATGTCTTCTGCGGGAAGTATGGGTTGCTCGTATTACTGTTCGACTGGAGACAAACTTGATTAGGAGCAACAATTTACCACCCTAGTAGACAAGCTGTGTGTAATATTCAGCCATCGAAAATGTGAACCGAAAGAGCCACTGCAAATAGCTTGTAAACATACTGATAACTCCAATACAGTCACTACTATGTATAGTCGGGTATCTCCGTCCTAGCCTACCACTTACAAGCCTACAAGTCAAACAATCAAACGGGTCAAACCCTCCAGTGCAGCAATTTCGCTAGGGCAACCGTCCAAATGCAAAGGATCAAATCCACCAGAAGCCATCCGCTTGCAATTTCAGCTTTGAACAACATCCGATGCGTCCCCGCCAGACCAGATCGTCGGAGAAATGAAACAACAATAGAATGCCCGATAGTAATAAGAAGAAAAACAAATCATAAGGTATGCCTGGTATGAAACAAAATGCAGCATACGCGAACCCGCGCCAACAGATCATTCTTTTCTCGATCCGGAGTGTTACATCGCAAACTTTTTTCGGCCTCGATATGTCCTCCCGAAAGAAAAAGCAAATCATATGATAGTGTTACATGATCTGATCCTGCGTGATCGGAGCAGTCGGCTCAGTGCCGTCCATCGCAACATCACCGGGCCCTGGGCCGGCATTCATGTACTTGACGAACGTAATGCCCAAGGGACGACCGCCGTACTGGTAACCGGTGAACTTGGCTGTAATGCAGTTAGTAGACGTCTTTCTGCAGGAAATCAAAAAAAACCCACCGATAGCAGTCTCCGCAGTTTCCGTACTATCAAACTGAACCACACCGGTGCCGCGGGAGCGACCATTGGGTTCGTACTGGATCTCCGCGCGATCAACCTTGCCGATAGTCGAGAACAGATCCACCAGATCCTCGTTGCAAGTCGACCAGGGCAGGTTGCGCACGTAGATGACAGCGCTCTTGTCGCCGCCGGAAGTAGCGAAATCGGTGAACGGGTTAGGGGGTCCAGAGGGCACACCCTCGAAACCACCAGGAGCACCACCGAAACCGCCAGGAGCTCCGCCATAACCACCACGGAAGCCTCCGCCGAAGCCGCCACGGCCACCAAAGCCACCGCGGCCACCGAAACCACCACCGAAGCCACCGCGACCGCCGAAGCCACCACGGCCACCGAACCCAGGTCCAGCACCGGCGAAGCGATCCTCACGAACCTCCAGCTGGCGTCCTTGCCAGTCGTAGCCGTTGAACTGCTGAATGGCATTCCGGGCATCCTCGGGGGACTCGAAGGCGACAATACCAGAGCCCTTGGGACGGCCGGTGGCATCGGTGTGAACATCGGCACGGATCACAGCGCCCTGCTGAGCTATATGAGAAGTCAATGTCAGTCCTGAAAACGCTTGCGACGGAGTGGAGGCAGAGAAGGCTGTTGAATAGAGGCTCTGCCGTCCCATACTTACCAGCTTGGCGGAAAAGATCCTTCAAATCTTGCCAGCCAACATTAAACGGAAGCTAAACATCCCCAGCGTCAATACCTAATCCTAGTCGAGCACGATATCAAATGTCAATGGTGGACGGGAATAAACCAACATTCGAAACATAAAGCTGACGGCCACCAGCGCCGCCGCCGCCGGCAGGGCCACCGAAGCCGCCACCGAAGCCGCCGCGACCACCACCTCCGAAGTCACCACGAGAGGGACCTCCCGTGAAACGAGGCTCGGGCTCACGATCCTGCGCTTTGTCAGTATCCTCCGATCAAGACTTCAGTGTCCTGGAGGGAAATGATGCATCATACCTCACGGACGTAGACGAGTCTTCCCATCAAGTTCTGGTTGCTGAGGGTGTTTACCGCATTTTGCGCTTGTTCCCTGGTTGCGTATTCCACAATCCTATTGTGACTGTCAGTAACACAAAACTGACTATCAAAGACCAAGTCCACTCACCCGCATCCCTACAGTATCCCGGACGGCCAGGCCCAGCCCGTCAACCCAAACAGTCCATAACAAGCGAACCAACAGGGGAAGAAAAAAAAAATCCAGAAACACAAAAAGGGAAAGGAAACCAGCCACACTACGCATTGGCGCCCACCTTCGACATTCCATTGGGAAGCAGTAAGACATCGGCAAAGATGACTTCTCCAGCTGTTCGAGCGCGGAACGTCCCCCTCCAAAGTCAGCCACAGATTCCAGACCCGCACAAACGCTATCACACGCCCGGCAACACGATATGACCCTGCTCACCCTGTCTCATAAAATCTTTCAGATGATGCCACTTGACATCGTAGGAGAGGTTGCCCACATAGACGCGACGGTCTTGCTGGGACGACTCGCGCACGGCTTGCATCATTTGTTCTTTGGCGACGGCGCGATCTTCGAACGAACGGGGGGGAGGTGGGTAGCTGCTGCGCCCACCGTAACCAGAAGCAGAATGACCACCGGGAGCGCCTTGGGTCGTACTCATAGGCGAACGAGAACGACGGTCGGAGCGGCGATAGTCGTCACGGCTGCGAGAGCGACTGCGGGGAGAGTAAGAGCGACGGCTGCGTCGAGGGCTACGAGAACGACGACGGGGAGAACGAGACCTCTCGCGCTGTGCGTGGTCAGTGTCGTCGAAGGCAGATGGAGACATGAGGCGGGAGGAGAGCGAGCGCGCGGGAATGGCAGAGGGAGGGTGGAGATTTAAAGAAAGGCAAAGAGGTGGTGAGACAAGAGTGGGTTGGATGAGATCAGCGCGCAAGGTCCCTGGAACTGGGGGGTGGGTGGGAAATGGAGCTGCTTGGTTGGATGGGACGAAATCGGGAGAATCGGCAATGGGGAATGGCAATGGAGAGATGGGGGGAGTGAATTGGAGAGTTGAGAGGTGAATTGAGTGAAGAGGGAAGAGCAGGAGCAGGAATGCACGGGACTGGATTGGATTGGGTCCGAGTTCCGGTTTCTGCGCCAGACACGGGGCCGGTCAGGTGATTTGACACCCCAAACAGGTTTAGCTTCAAACGCCAGACCGGGGGGACCCTGGGGAAGTCACGGGCAAACTGGACACAGCCCATTTCCAAGAGACGAGCAGTGGAAGGGGGGCCGGGGGGGAGAGTGAAGAGAAGAGACAGATGCGAGTGAGAACACAGTGAAATGTTCTTCCGTGTGGGAAAATAATCAAGCAACAACCAGAAGAATAATCCCAAAATTAGATGCATCATAGATGAAGATCGGAGTGGAAGATCAAGAACGAGGGTGGATAGCTTGCGGGAGTGGCAGCAAACAGTGGGGATGACGGATTCCCGAACGTGAGCCGTGAGCACCGCCCATCCCATCACACTCTTGTCTAGTATTTGCAGCTGGGATGGACTTGTTCACTGTCTCCCCGTCCAGCTGCCCGCAACAATGGCAAAGAAAGTCCTCTCTTTCCAGAAAAACAACCAAGAACAGCGCTAACTCGCATCCATTTCCCAAGAAGAGCTACAAGCGAATCAACCGATCGGAAAGCAAACTTACTTGATAGGGTCGATAGACGTCGGCTGAAGATTAAGCCTAGATGGTAAGCCACCGAATCCACGGTCGGGAGGGAACAGAGCAGTAGAAAGGAAATTACCAGAGTACGAAGAAATAAGAAAAAGAGGGGGGAAGATTGGGATGGGGACGGGAAAGAAGGAGGAATTAAGGTAGAAGAAAGAGGAATGGAGAGGAGGCGAGACGCGAGAGATAAAGGAGGGTGACGGCGGGAGGGGGGAAGGGAAGTCAAGTCAGACACAGAAGAAAGTGTGTGTGTGGTGTGTGTGTGTGGGCGGCTGTGTGTGTGAGAGAGAGGGTGAGGAAGTACTACTAGCACAGTAGTAGTAGGTGGGAGTAGTGTGCGCGTGTGTGTAAGAAGCAGCCAGCCAGGGAAGGGGATGGCCGAGAGGGGGGCAGGGAAAAGAGAGAAAAGGAAAAAGAAACGATGAGACAAGGTCCAAAGCCAAAACCAGCTGAGAAAAGAGACCACTATCGTGCTGTTCCAGCCCGTGTGTGTGTGTCAAGTCAGATCCAATCCCATGCCATCCCATCCGCCCAGTGCAGAAGCAGTTCGAGTCCGTCTGTGTCTGCCAGCCCGTTCGGGACACCATGCAGCACGCGGCGTGATTGGCCTTCCCCCCGGGGCCATCCGCAGACAACCCTCCACTGAGCGTGGTTGTGGTTGGCGTAGCTGTCGCAGCAAGAGGAATGAGATGCATGGTCGGGATGGTTGGTCACTGCTCTGACTCGGCACGTCCACCCGGCGCAGTGAACGAGGATGGAGGTCCCCTGCTGGTGTGGGAACCCGTGTGATAATGATGAGGGGGAAGCTCAGAGATACGGGTAGGTATGTGCAGCCTAGACAGGGGGGGGGGGAGTGGGTGGGAGGAGGCACATCAGGGTTGAAGTCAATCCTGTCTGCCGGGCAATCATGTCACAAGTTCATTCCCAGCCGGGACAGGAATGTAAGGTGAGGTAGCCTCAAAGTATGGATTATGGATCGAAGCAAGAGGGAAACGTGGGCTGGATGTCCACCGGGACAAGCCATTGACGGTGGATCACGAGAGAGACAAACAAACAATCCGGGGAACCGAGATGGGGAAAAGAGAAGTTGCAGTATAGGAAAAATATCACCCACCCATGTTGATGATATTGACAATATTGGATTTGATGGAGTAAGAAGAATAAAATGAATAAAAAGGGGGGTTGTGGAAGGGAGATGATACGTTAGTTATCAGTTAGTTATCACAAGGGAGAGAATAGTAGTGGTATACGGAGTAGTGGTGGTAGTGCTGATGATGGTGATGAAACAAAGGTAGGTAAATGGAGGGACAGGAAGACAGTCTGGATCGCCTTTCAAGACGGACGGACGATTATCAGAACAAATCGGAGATCCGAAAGGGAAGAGGGGATAATAGGAAGGGATAGTCTAGTGGTCTAGTTAGTACGGGAGTAGTGCCAGATGCAACAAACACACTAGTAGATAACAGTCGTGAGGAGAAGAAAGAGAGAAAGAGAGAGAGAGTCAGATGGGGCCAGAGTGTGAACAGAGAGGCAGCTGGGGATAAGCAAGCCGGCAGGGATGGAGGCTCGAGCGGTCGGGATGTTCTCTGATAAATAAATGGAG